GGCAGGGTCCGGGCTGAGCCCCGGGCCGCTGGGCCCCGTCCGACACCTTGGTCAGAAGCGCCCATCGCTGCGATTCCCGGGTCGCGCAGCCCGCCGGGGTGTGTGTGTTTTGCTCCCACGGCCCCGTTGCCGCTCCGGGTGAGGAGCAGAAGCTCCGAAGAGCATCTCGGCCCCTGCCCTGGCCGAGCTGCGGCTCCTCGGGGAGCTGAGGAGCTGCCGAGCCGGTTGGGACTGCTCCATAGGGAAGCTCGGTTCGGTCCGTTCCCGGTAAGCAGCGATGTAGGGGCCCTGTCCCTGCTGAGGGCATGTCAGCCTTGTTTGGGAGGCTCGGTATGAGCCGAAGGAGGAACCGCTGGAGCCCTGGGAGGCAGCAAAATGCTGGAGCTAGTGGAAGCGGGAGATCACCCCCATATGGGGAGGGATGCAGATGTGCAGAGCTCAGAGGATAAGCTCAGATAACCTGTGGTCTCACCTTGGTGGCCTCTCAAGACAGAGACCCATCTTGCCTGAGGAGGGTGAAACAGGCCAAGCCTGCCCAGACTCACGCAATCAGAGCTGAATCTGCTCCCAGTCCCTAGCAGCGCTGCTTGGCCCGTTGGGAGGAAGGCACGGGCTGGATCCTCAGGTAAGCTGAGCGATTCTAAACACACACTCTCCGGAGGTGCTTCAATAGAAGGATCTGACCACGCAGCTCATTCCCAGAGCAGTCTCACAGCTGTGCTGCATCTATTTTTGTGGATCCCCAAGGAATGTTCCTCCAGCCATTTCTAGGAAATTAGTCACAGTGGCAGCCGAGGAGGAGCACTCTGGTAATGGTGTACTTGGCAGAAACACTCAGCTGTTCGGACTTGTCCAACTGTGTGACTATTGCACACTTACACACTACACTTTCCTAGTCAATCGCTACTTTTTTGCCTAAGGCAAAGCGTAGTGCTTGGAAAACCTTGGTTGAGGAGATGATTAGCCAGGGGCATAATTGGCAAATAGTTTGTTTTGTTTGTTCATTCCTTTTTTCCCTTTCTACTTCTGTAAAACCTTGTCTACTGCTCTTTTTACCCACCAGTCAGTCTCCTTCCCTGCACTGTGACTTACACTTAAGAATTCCTCTTGTGGGCAGCCTGCCCTGCTTTTTGACAGTGTATGCTTTGCTTAATAAATTTACTCCTCAAAGCCCAGCAATGCACACAGTGTGCGTGTATGTACATATATCGTTGGGGGACATCAGGAAATTACACCAACTGATCCAACTGATGTTAAACAGCTTCCTAAGTCGGGTCACCATCACAGAAATGATAAACATGGGTCAGTCACTTCACACAACTAAACAAAAGTGCTGGCTCTGCATGCTGGAAGAGAGGTAAAAGCTTACACTCTGCTAAATGGCAAATACAAATGTTGGTCTCAGTCAGTCCCAATGAAGCAACCTGGAGTTATTGTTCAAACCAAGGCTTTTATCAGTTTCCAGCTCAGTCACACACAGGTCTTTTAAGTCTCTATGCAAAGACCCCGTATGAGGCAAAGCAAACAAGGTGCCATTGCTGGGCTGCAGTGCAGTCTAACAGACACTGACCTACTGCCCAACCTGCTGTAATGACATGAGGCACATCGGAGGACCGGTATGTTCAGTATTCCTGCTAGGACTGCTGCAGGACAAAACCAGGCAGAAATCTGATTCAGGCTGCCTTTGCCCACTGCTTACATCTCATCCTTGTTTCTTGGCTACCTTGGATAATAAACACAGCAGAACAACCAGCCAGCATGGTCTGAGAACTAACTGCTCTTTAGCTGTGGGTATTAGTGACCTGCCACATTCTGCCACATACTTCCAAGGACCACTTGAACTTGCATATCTCACCAGAGCTGGGTGTGTGATGACTGCTGGCCTTGGGAGCCCTGCTAAAAGCAGAGGGCCAAGCACCTTCCCAGAACAACACCTTGCCTGACACTAGAATTACACAAATTTGCCTCACTGTTTTTATCATATAAACCATGGGTGCAAGGCACTTTGGCCTTCTACTTTGCCTGCTGGCTTGATCCTGGGGGTGGTTTTATTTATTTAATATTTGAGATTCTCAATTATTAGGCTTAACTTGCACTTTCTGTCTGGCTCTTATTCCTAGGAAACCATTTCTTCCCACCTCTCCTGACAGTGTTGCCTGGTTCTGCTGTGCACATGGAACCTCTTACCCAGCTAAGCTGGATGGAGGCCACCATCACCACACGTAGCCAGAGACATTTCCCAGTGAGATGGAGGGGACGGGTTTGAATCCCTTCAGACAGCAGAGGGATGTGAACCTTGGTCTCCAATGAAGCTACTTATGCTGGAATTTTAAAAAGCATTTCTCAAAGAAGAAACAAGTAGAGGGTAGTCAGCTAGAAAGGAGACCAGGGTGGTAATGTTTGCTGTGCTCGATTTGTCTCGTTATGTGAAATCAATATTGGGGAAAGTAATCTGTGATTTGTAATGCAGCAATCTTCCTTTCTCCCACCCCTTCCCAAAGCCAGCTGCAAATAAACTTGATAGTCCAAAGGCTGGTTTTATTTCTTAGAGGCTATTCCCTGCTGCACATTTGTCCAGTAAAGCAGATGCTGTTGCTGCCTCCTGAATGGGGGCAGATAGTTCTTGGGGATGCAGATCACTGTCTGTTAGTTAATGGCCCTTATTTTTGTTTGGAACAAAGAGATTTTTGTACAAGACCTCCTGCTGGTCTTGCCAATTCCATCAGGATTTGCACTGTACATGTGATGTCTCCTTCTAGTGAGCACTTAGAACAAGCAAAACAAACAAACTCCTCACACTTAGGTGTTCCTGGGCTTTTGTACAATTCCCTGGCATTTAACTGCTGACTGTCAAGTCCAGTGTCTGCAGCAGGAAACCGAAAACCTGACTAGGCAGTCAGCTGTTAATGCTTCCTGTGCTTTCTTGATGGAGGTAGGTTGACCTGCAGAGTGAGGACTAACACAGAGCCAGAAATAATGCAGGGCAGAGGTGTCTGAGCTTCCCTGCCCCTTGCCAGTGTCCACTGTGGCAGAGTGAGTTATTTCATGAGTTGTATTTCTGGCATTCATGTTTTTCCCATTCCAGCAAAAACTCTGGGAATATCCTCAGCTGTGTGTCTGCTGAGGGATCAGCTCTGTTGACAGCAGTTACTTTGTTTATAAATGCTCAATTCTCTCTGCTCTTCAGAGGCAAACAAACAGGAAGAAGATTTTGCTCGTGTGCCATAAGGCAGCTGAGTTACCTGATTAATGAGCCACTGCAGTGACCTCTATGGGCACAGGGCTCTTCAGTTGCTCTTCATCACAACTCCATCCTAGCTGGAACCAATCACATTTACAAACTGCAGGAAAATTACTTTGGTTTGGTGCTGCCTGTGGGAACAGAAGCAGGAGCAGCAACCACCTGCCCTTGTTAGGATGCTCTGCATGCAAACCCAACTTTTCCAGACCCTGCTTCCTTAGCAAATACTACGTTTTGTAGGTGCTCAGCTGTCTTCATCCTAACTTCTGTCTTTCCCCTCCCTGTCTCTAAAGCTGTAGAATACTGTTCTCAGGTCAAATCAGCTGTTCCTGGTTATCTGTAATAGTGTTTTCCACATTAGTATCTTCATTCTGGTATCTTAATGCCCCTCAGGAGTGATTTTTTCAGGAAGTTTTGTAAGTATTACTGAGTCAGGCAAAAGAATTCCTGTATAGAAATGTGAACTGCTCCATGCCACATGCCTGGCCTGAGCCAACTGCCCTCAGCACATAGCTTTTACACTGACTCTTCAATTGCATTACCTTTTAATTGTGAAATATGACCATACCACAGTTCACTGGCTGAGGGTTGGCTACAGGTATTCCGTTTATCATTCACTAGCAGATACACTTCTAACCTCTGACTTCATGTTTGCAGGGCCATCAAATAGCCAAGGAGCTGGCAAAGTCAGCCTCTTGAAGAAAGTACCAGCACTAAAGGATGGAGACTTTACCCTAGAAGAATGGTAAGAACTCAGTCCTTGCAGCTCTTTGGTTACCAGTAACCTGTGCAGCATTTAAGAGACATCATTCCCACTGAGGATCACAGAATTCATGAACATGCTGGTTATTTTCAATAGTATAACCTCATTTGCTCTGTTTCCATTTTCCATTTGAATTATCTTTCAGAATGCAAACAAACCAGCTGACTTCACTTCTTGGTCTTACCCTGAATGCATCAAAATGTGATTATAAACATTCCTGGGAAATGTTTACAGCTTATAAAAATCCCTTGTACCCTGGGAAAGATCCTGTTTATCCTAGTTAGTCGTAATGGCCAAGTAAACACCTACAGAGGTAAAAATTAGGGTTTACATTGTAAGATTCATATGGAGACTGGTTAATGGTGTCATAATATTGAAATAATTGAACTGCAGCAGTATCAGCATAGCAGGAGGATCTGCATCTTCTTCCATTTTGTCAGCATAGGATTTTCTGTGGTGTCTCTTTTGTAGTAACAGCCTACAGATTGCTGCAGGTGATTTCTCCTGCCGATTAATGAACGTATAAACATCTGGATACACACAAAAACGTTCTGTAGACTTTCCTTGCTGGGACTTACACTGACTTCAGCGGAAGCTGCAGGCTAGATACAGACCTGATGAAAAGGCATCATAACCAATGGGTTATGAAACTCTCTAATGAGAGAGTTTCATTTCATACACAGGCATATAAACATGCACAGGCCTCAGAGAGGTGGATCAGAACAGTTGAGGAGCAAGTGGAGTTAGCAGTGGTGATGGATGATTTATCAAGGTTTATTGTTTGTTCACCCCCGTACTGTCCGGCAGTGCTCTGCACCATGGAACAGTGCTGTGATTTTCCAGCAGGTTAAAGTTTTCACAGGATCTAAGGTGATTAAGTGCTGCCTGATGTCCATGTGAATTAGATGCTTATCTGTGATCCCTAGACTCCAGCAGAAATCCTGATCTGAATGCTTTTTAGTGGAAGAAGCAAGTTCAGAAAGGACAGGAGAGGGAGCTTAGGTGAAAGCATTCTGCATTGTCACTCCGTGCCCCTTTTTGTCTCGTTACTTTCTGAGCAGCACTGCCATCCTGCTGTATCTGAGTCAAAAGTACAACACACCCGACCACTGGTACCCATCAGACATACAGAAACGGGCCCAGGTAGATGAATACCTCTCATGGCACCACACCAACATCCGCGCTAATGCTCCTAAGACCATGTGGATCAAGGTAAGGAGACTGAATGTTAAAATGCGAGTAAAGCCATGTTTTCCTGGCAGAATACTGAGCATTTGAACAGCCCCAATTTGGAGAGAGTTCGTCTCCAAATGAAATAACATATCCTGAAATAACAAACCTAGCCCATTCCTAGCTGAGGGGGGCTGTCAGACAGGGAGCTGTTCCCAATTGCTCAACATCAGGATCTGGCAAAAGCAGCTTCAGTCATTCTGTGACAGGTCTGGTACAGAAGGTCTCAAAGCCCAACAGACTTCCATTGCCTGGATTTGTGAACAAATATGTAACAGATTGGATATTGCCTCCAAGGGCCTCTCCCTCACTGCACAGCTGTGCAGAGTGTGCACATAGGCAGAAGTTTTGCTTCTTTGGCGAGCATGTGCTCCGTTGCTGGCAGCAGCAAGGCTTGCATTCTTCATACAAGTCCCTGCAGTCCCATCTGGGTGGAAAGCCAGAAGGAGCCTTCTGCTTCCAGCACACTTAGGTACTTCTCTGAAACAGAAATAGAACAGAGACACAGAGATAACAGCAACATTTCTTTATTCAGTGTGGTCAGATGAACATACATTTTTGGCAAAATTGTAAGAATCACCCTGAGGCAGAAAATCACTCACTGTCAGATGATGTTGCAGGGCATTTATTTCCAGCCAACTCACCAGGCAGTTAATGCAACTATCCTTGGAGAGACCAGGGTGCAAAGACAGCCCTTCAAGTGAAGCTGTGGTATGGAATTTCAGGGTTGCTAGTAAGCAGGTAAGAACTTCACTCTTCCTGTGTAAGGTCTGCCCTTGTTTGTGCCTAACAAAGCATATCAGGACCAGCCTTTTGGTTTAGTGACACTTGAATTTTTGGCTAGAGAGCACAGAGAAGCAATTCAAATATGAGTCAGATTCATACAAGAAGCAGTTTCTTCCAGTCTCTGGAGGCTGCTATTGGGAAACGGAAAGAAATCCAACCAATTGCTGTTGCTAAGTAGATAACCCAGATACAGAAAAGATCCTCAGAATAACTGAAAATAGGGAAACATATAAAGCCACCATGTAACACAAGGCATATTAGGTAGACATGGGAGAAGATGGACTGCTCTGAGATATGGGAAAGGAAGAAGATGGTGTTTCATGTGATTATATTCATGCACAATTAGAACCTTTTAGGAAGAGAGGTGGCCATGAATTTTCTGGGGAAATAGATTCCACATGTATTTGGCAAAAATCCTAGCTTGGATTAAGCAGTCCCAACTTGAATTGTTGAAAATACCAGCAGTAAGTAGAAATACAGTCCACTCCCACCAACGGAAATTTGTATCCTTAATTCTTCTCTAAATAAGCTATGTTTCTTTAGCTGTGGTAGGTGGAGGCACATTGCTGTTAAAAACTGTGGGCTCTGATAGTGTGTGCACCTCTGTGAATGATGGAAAATCTCATGGAAAGGCAACCACCACCCGTGCTAGCAAGTCTGTGGAGACAAGGACCACCCTTTCCATAATTACTCTGGAAAAACTTCTAGTGCTTTAAAGAATGATGCTTGGGAGGCCACAGAAGGGCTGGTGTAAAAATGGTGCTTACCCATTCCCAGCCTCGCTGGCTGCTGTCACGCAGAGGAAGCTATTTCCTGCATTGCCAGACAGTGCTGACACACTCCAGTCCTTCCTACGCTCCCCACCGCAGCCACCACCATGCCCTCCTTCCCATCACCCTGCCTGCAGCACCTGGCCACACAACAGGGTGGATATAGGGTGGGCTGGGGTGCAGGCAGCCTGCTGAAACACAGGACACAGCAGAGCTGACTATGGCAGAGATGTGTCTTCCCTGGAGCTGTTGCTCTTTTTGTAACCCACCAAGGTGGAGTGGCAGGGCACAACTGCCAGGAATCAAATTAGGTGAATCCTTGATTTTGTTCTGCACATTGCTGCCCATTAGCTGGAGGTTACTGTCACAGCAGATCAGCCTCTTACTTATGTGCTTTCTGTCCACGAGCTACTCATAAGTATAGCAGTCCCTGAAGCTCTAGCATCATCCCCTCCTGCAGCTTGGCTGCAGGATCACTGACCATCATGAGTTCATGGGGTGTAACTTAAGTGACCACCACCAGATCCATGAGAAAATGGCTGGCTGTACTCTTAAATTCCTTTTCTCCTCAGGTGCTGATTCCCCTCTTCACAGGGCAGCCACAGCCCCCTGAGAAACTCCAGGAGGTTATGGAGGGGCTGTTCGCTTCTCTGAAGCAATTTGAGGAGAGGTTTCTGCAGGACAAGGCTTTTATCATCGGGAGTGAGATCTCTCTGGCAGATCTTGTGGCCATTGTGGAGCTGATGCAGGTGAGTGCTGGAATGTGGTAAGGAAGGCTCAGTGCAAGGAAAAACAGATGCTGCCGGGCAGGGAGGGGTGCAGCATGTGGAGAGAGGAATGAGGGTGAATCTCAACACAACTAAGACAATGAGAATATGGGAGTGGGTTTAGAAAAGCAGTTTAAAAAAAGAGAGGGAAAAGAAAAAATGCTGGTTGCAACAGATCTCTTCTGTTTCTCTCCTCTCACAATACTTCTTCATCCTTTATCATGACGTTATTTTTACCCTCCAGAGAAGGAGGTGAGAAGCAATAGCAGACAGGTCTGATGAAATAAGAAAATGATATTCATATTCTATTTCAGATGGTACTTGCTCATGCAATGTTCAGAAGACGCAAGACTGATTCTCAAACACAGGCAATCAAGTCTGTTACAAACTGGTTGTTTCTGCCAGACCAGCAGGGCCAGGATCCTGCAGCCCAGAAGTGATTCCTTCTGTATCCCAAAGACTGAAAAATAGCAGTTCTGCTTCTCTACAGCATTGTGTTTCAGAGAGTGGCACAGGCAGAAAGTAGAAGTGAGGTAGATGATGTCAGCTAAGACATAAGTTCAGTTAAATACTTAGTGTTTTGTGCGGGAGTTTTGCAACACTCCCTAAGGCGAACTGTGCAGTTGGCCCTGGAACTGTCAGCCCACCATATCTTCAATGCTGCAACTGTAAATCTCTGACAAGTGGTAGGCATCTCTGCTGCTCATAACGGCTGTTCTGGAACTCAGGAATTTACTTGTAAATGCCCTTTAAAATACAGGCCAGCTTCTCTGTCCTCCACATAGACACACCCAACCGGAGATTTCCCTCCTTCCTAGTGCTCCTCTACACGCTCATCTCCATTTTTTCCCCACTTTTGGTGCCTGTGGTCTTGGTGAAGTGACTGCTCGATGCCTCACTGTTGCTCTCTCCCCCTTTCTGCAGCCTGTGGGAGTTGGTTGTGACATCTTTGAGGACAGACCTCGGCTGATGGAGTGGCGCAGGCGGGTGGAGGATGCTGTGGGGAAAGAGCTTTTCTTTCAAGCCCATGAGATGATCTTCAATATCAAAGAACTGAGCAACATTCAAATTCATCCACAGCTGAAGGAGTATCTGGCACCTGTGTTGATGGAGATGTTGAAATGAATTAATCTATCTTACCATTTTTCATGCCCCTTTTGTTTTAACCTCTTCTCTGACCTCCAGTTCTACATGTAAGTGGAAAGAGCACCACAATTCTAACACAGAAATTGCAGAGTGTTTCTTCCCCCACCAGACCTTTCTTGTATCTTTATGCATGGAAGCTGGGGAAGGTTTAAGACCTGAAACATTAAATTTATACAGAAGGCTGAGGCCCTACAGGTCACTTAACATGTGCATCTGAGTTTTATTTCAGCATCACTCTTCTCAGAGATGGTAGTGACACAAATGGTATTTCCTGACAAAAATTTAGCCAGCCTACAAACTAGAAACATTGGGGAACTGTATAGGATGAGAATCGTTGTTTTCATGTGATTTTAACATCTGCAGCTCCTTCTCAAGTGGCAAGCACTGCAAAGCGTGTCTTATCCTCACCTTCCCAGCACGTGTCTACACAGACGGCACAAAACTACAGGTGGTCACAAAGTGAAGTTTCTTATTGCTGAGGCATCTTGCTTGGCTGTCCATGCACGCTCCACACTTCTATTTGCCTTTACATTCCTGTAAGAAGTTTCCTCATCTACAACTGTGAATCTTCGTAATTCCTTGGTTGTACAACTGCTCCTCATTTCTGGAAGCCCGGGTTTCTTTGGTACTTGGTCTGCCCGTACACATGATAGGGGCTGTTCTTGGAGATACGTGCAGTAAAGACCAAGCCACTTGAAAAAGCTGATGGTGGCCACAGCCTTTGTTTAATTGCCTAACTTAAATACTCTTGCTATTATATAGGGAATACTATGAGAGAATGAATTGACAGTGATTACTTGAAAGATATAATAGCAACCAGATTGGTTTTGTCTGTGGTAAAGCTGCAATAGCAATCCACGTTTCTCCCAGAAAATGCAGAGGGGGAGTAATCTAGACATGGTCTTCTGGGACTGTTTTGGATGGAAGTTTACCAAGTAAGTCACCCTGTGCAGCTGAAGGAGTAAGAGAGATTTTGTGGCATTGAGCAACAGACACCTCACAGTAAAAGGACAGAGAGTTGTTTTGGAGCTTTGGGGCTCTTTTTCTTGGCAAATACAAAACCCTTTTGTACTGCAGTATAATTTATGAGGTAAAACTGAGAGGATCCAACCATTTCTAGTTTTTTCAGTTGAAAATAGCAAATCGTAAAGGATGCAGAAACCGCATCATATGCACATATCTCTGCATATTTCCATTCATAAGTAGTTGTTGCCTCTGAACCTTACCCTGAAACCCTTGCTTAAGAACTCTTCCTGTAAAGAACAGGACAAAATGAGTAAATAATCCAGGAATTGCTTCTCTCACTAATCAAATAACTTGTTTTCTCTCCAGTACTACCATGTCTTGGCTAGTGACTTTTCTGCTGATAAGTTCTATAAAACCTGATGTGTTCTGGTGATGTTTTTCACTAATGTTTCAGTACTAGATACTACTGTTTTAGTCCAGAGCCTAGGGAGAACTTTAAATTCCCTGTCTGAAAAGAGAATTCCATTATATACTTCAGCTTCCATGAGCAGGACATTTTGTCTTGTGATTGTGTTCTCTATAAAGACAAGAGACCTGACTAAAGGCCCTCTCTTTTCATGCACCAAAATACTAGAAACAGGCACATGATTATTCCCATCCTTTCCTTTCTTCCCAAGCTGAATAATATGGTTTTTATTGATCTTTTATTCACAAAATATTGTCTACAACTGAGTTAAATTTTAAATGGGAAATGGTTGGGGGTTTTTATATATATATCTATAATTTTGAGAGTGGAATTTCTAAGTGGATGATGACACAGGCAAATGTCTGCAGGAGGGAAAAAGCTGCCATGATTTTCCAAGGGCTGAGCAGGTTTGAGACTACTTGCTGCTGTGCTGTCCTGTTTTGGTTGTATGTTCATCCCCCTACAATCATTTTAATTGCCAGCTTCAAGACAGAAACAATAAACCAAATGTCTTTTGTCTAATAAAAACTCTGTGAGGCTGCGAACAATCTGCCATTCATATGATGAGCCATCAAGAGTGAAGGAGAACACATATCATTAAAGATGTTTGTGACAGTCCCATGTTCTGTTGTAATTTCTGACATCTGATGACTTGAATCTGTTATTTTCCCTTTGGAGGCTTTCTAATACGCTGGTTTCTTGCCATGTGGGGTTTTTTTGGCCCTGGAATTGGAAGGGACTTAGTATTTAAAGGAATGAGGAACAGAAAATGGATCCTAACTGGCATCTTACTTGGAGGTAGTGACTCCTAGTGATCAGGCAGTGGTGGGCTTGCACCTGGGGTTTGCAAGCTGGGTGAATACCCCCACTGCTTTCATTTCAGTGACAAACTTGGGATCATCTCTTCTATTTACAAGATAATATCTGTAAATTTACCCTCGAATCTAATGGTTTTCCTGGGTTACTTTTTCTGCTGCTTTCCTGGATTTGAAGGCATGTCTGTGTTACAGCTTATGACCACAGGCAGCCACCGCCTGCCTGCCCGCCATGTCCCATTCCCTCTCTGTCTGTGTCTCTCGTTACAATCTCTGTCCTAGAAATCTTTTTCCAGCCTTATCGTTGTCTGGTTTACACACACAGCTCCTTGTGCCAGTATTGTCTTCATTAGCACCAGTAAAGGCCAAACAATTTCTCCAGGGAAAAAAAAAAAGCGCAATTTCATCAGTTTTCATTAGAGTTGTCTAGAACTGTAGAAAACCCAAAAGTACAGGGCCGATTTTCACAACAGTGCTGTGCCTTAAACAAGATGCCCTTTTAGTCTAGCTGGTTCACAATCTTTTGTTGTAAATGAGCATGTGTAATGCTCACTGGACAGTTGCTGAGCTTCTGAGAAAGCTCTGATGTCTAGACTAGACACCTCTGATCTGCAGATGAGACTGTCCCTGTGAGGCAGCCCGGGGGGCCTTGCAGTGCATTCTTAACCCTCCCTGTGCGGAGGTGTCCATTGCGCTGACCAGAAACGTCTTCCACTTGCAGCAAGGACTGTCACAAAACTCGTTCAACCCATCCCTCAGTGAGATGTGAGTTTCTGGCTCTCAGCGTCTCTAAATCACATCCCAGCAAAGCACAGTGTCAAAAGCGAAGGGCCCGAAAACCACCTGGGGCAAGCCAGGGAACACCCGAAGGCTGTGGCTGTGGAAGCGCAGGGCGCTCCCGCCTTGCTGCAGCAGCCCCGGGACC